GGTTATCAGTGTTTCAGATTAGAACACAGTATGTTGATTGAATTTTACTTCTTGTAGCTTGCATCTGATTTGAAATACCTTTTACATCAATTGGTTTTTTCCTAATTATACATACATCTCCTAATAACAATTTTATATTAGGATTCTGTAGGCTGAGAATTCTGGAAGTTGAAGTCTAATCTAATATCTAATTGGACTGTAATTGGGGAAGGCTGCTGAATGCTGACAGTTAAAGTGTATTTGCAGTAGCCTAACACCGGTTTCTTACCTCTCTTCAGACTGAACAGCTATAATCAGTAATCTATTTACCAACTATGCTACAGCATAGCATAGTTTATAGTTTACATTACTGAGCTATGCCAGTAATTTAGATACAGAATTTTAAATAATTTTTGGCTCTTCCTAACAGATATATAAATGGTAACAATGCGTAGTGAGGCAGACAGTGAAGCTGAGCCAAAACTAACTGGCTTTCTTAAAGTATCCTGTCCAAATCTGTGTCTAAAATATATGAAAAGAATGAGGATGGATGAGTTTCTTATAGTGAGCTGTGATTCTTATCCTAGATTTGGTAGGAACATCCTCCTTGGTTTTTTGGTTTTGTTTTTTGGTAGCCTCATTATGGACCATGATATTTAGACATCAGATATCTATGTAGCTGACTAAAGTTGAGGTAGATGACTGATATGCAGGAGATATGTAGTACTACACAGTCTGTTTGTGAATCATGTACACTGTATTCATTTGTTTATTTACATTGCTTGTACGCTGCCCATTCCCATAGGCTCTAAGCAGCTAACAGTGTAAACATATGAAATATCTCTCCCTATACCTACAGTATAATCATATATAAAAAGAGTAAATACACATCAACAGAAACTTTAGGGGTCAGTAATACCATTGACTAATAAACAACAAAAAATAAAGGAAACAGCCCCCCACAATAAAACTTTCTTGCATGTATTTGGACCTGAGGATCTTTGTGTAAATGACAGTTAAAATATTGGAGAATGGCATTTGTTGTCAGTCATTTGCTGTACCAAATGGAATGCCTAGTAGATTGTTTGGCAACCAGTAGTCATCTCCATAGCCATTACAAAGTGAATGTTTTCTAGAAAAAAATGAAGCATGTGAGTTTGTATGAAAATAATTTATTCCCTGATTAGGCTGATTGCTCCTCTTTCCTTCCTCTTTTAATCAAGATGTATCAGTCAAACATAGTACTTTCCTTTTCCACCTAGTATGAATTTTACATCTTTTGACTCTTTCATCCACTCTTTTACTTTTATTTTCAGATCTAAGCTTGTGTGTGTGGGCAGAGTGAGATTAAAAACACAGACACATTGTGTATGGCTGGGAAATTGGAAAGACTAGGGCGTTAAGTTGCACGTAATGTTATTTTTAAACTGCCATGAAATTTTCCTCTGTGGATGTTCTTGCTATGATACTTTTCCCTCGTTGAGATTTGTTGTAACAGCAAGCTGTGAAGAAGCTGGCACACTGAAATACAAATTTGAATCACTAGAGAAAGTTAGCCTGTTATCTGGTATATATGTGAATGCAGAAGCTTCCTGAATCTGGGAGAATTTTGTAGCATTGGAAAAAGAGAAGAAAGAATTTTGAATTTAGTTTTCAGATTGCTCAGAATGGATCTACCTCTGATTTGCCTGAAGGAAGCCAGGAATTTGAGAAAGGAATGTTAATGGTTCTTGACTCGAATGATTTATCTTCAGAAGTGGGCTCTGGCCTAGTGCTCTGCAGTTGAATACAGGATGAAATGGCAGGATTGTTTTTTTAACAACGGAAAACAGAGAGATATGAAACTCTAGCCACAGTTAGCTGGAGCCAGACTTGCAACTTTCTGGAAATTAGAAGCAGGCTCATTGGATTTTCTTCTAGACAATTTTCCCTGTTATGTTTTGCTGATAATTTTGTAAATAAGCATGTATTAAGCATGTAAATAAGCATGATCCCCTTCATGGATCACTGCCTTGTTGTGGCGAAGGGGCTTGCATAACTCAGTGAAGCCAT